CCTGGACAGAAGGAGCATAAATCACGAGGCCCAGGACACAGCGGACACAGGTGCACTCTGCTGTCTTCCAACCACAGGGATGAAGGGTGGAGGAGGTGAGGCCTGGGGACTGACCCTTGAGGCTCAGGCACACTGCCGGGGCCACCTCCCAGGTGAAGAAAGCAGGGTGGATTGAGCACCAGGGGCAGAGTGGTAAAGTGAAGGGGGAATCAATGCCAGGAAGACCCATGGCCTGGGCATGAAGGAAAGCGTGAAGATGGGGCACACTGGTGTGAACGAGCAGAAGACCTCTCCCAAAGACTGCCCAGACACCCCAAGGAGCAGACTCACTTCTGGACACAGAGACTCCTTCATGGCGATGAAGTGAGCTGTGACATTTAATGTAAGGGACTGCTGCCAACAGCGCAGGGTGAAGTCACTTCCCACAAAGGGATGATGAGGCTGCCATTTCCGGTCCATGAAGGAAGGTTATTCCCTGTGCAAGGAGTTGGCCAGCGGTGCTGAAGCTCAGGCCTCCCCCGCCGGGAGCTCAGGCCCAGATGGGGCTCTTTATTAGCACACACATGGCTCGCCCTCTGCTGCACGTGGATCCAGCCAGGCAGCCTGGGGGCAACCTTCAGAGCTTCCTGTCCGGCCCTCACCGCCACATGCACAGACAGGCCTGGGTACCCAGCCGTGCCCTCAGCTCCAGCTCATAGCCCCCGCCCTGCCCATGCCTCACAAGATAAGTCTGTGCCTCTCCCTGGTGCCCCATCATGGCACCTGGGACCTGCCGCTCCATCCTGCCTGCCACTCCTCCGGCTCCCACCTCAAGGCCTCCCGAGAAGGCTGTTTGTGGAGCTTGCCTCCCCTGGAATGGACTCCGCTCATGGAGACTGGTGGCTGGACCTGGGGGCAGGGGTATTTTTCCAATGCCTCCTCGATTGACCTTTAATTACACTGTTTGCCCAGCTCCCCAAACCATTAACTTCCACCTCACAGCAACCACACATCAATTAATGGAGGGCCTGCTCGGAGCTCGAACTCCTGAACACAATTAAGCGTGACAGTCCACAAATAAGAAAGAACTGAAGAATTAATTAAGGTCTAAACAGATTAATTACCAGTCCCCAATCAATTCCAATGCCAGCACACATGCTCCTGGGCTCACCGTCTTTCCTAACATCTCCACGTATAAATAGAAACTGAGATTTCCCACATGATTGCTGTTCTAGACCAGGGCACAGCAAGGCTCTGAAACCACCTTTAGGGAGAGAATTGGCTGCAGTGAGCATCCTCGGGGCTTCCCAGGTACTCAGCACACACGCATGCACACACATCAGTCGCACACACGTGCACACAGCCCCAGCTGAAAAGCCAGGGGCCGACTGGTGGAGTGCTCCTGGTGGGTGCTGAGCCCCAGCTGCCCCTGGGCCACATCCCTCAGCTAGTTTCTCCCTGCAGGGGTGAAGGAGGTATCCAGGTGAACTTGAAGCAGCCCTGGCCTGAGCCTGGGAGGCCTGGGCTTTGGCCAGCTAAGGGTAACTTTCGGCAAGCCTGAATTTGTCTGTTCTTCTGTAAAACGGGGATGGCTCACTCTGCCAGAGGGTCCTCCCAGAGAGAGAATGAGGAGAACTGAGGGGGAAGAGAGGCCTGCCGGAGGAGACACGGAGAGCCGTGGGCCGCTGACGCACCGGGCTCTGCAAACCCGCGGGAGGCCCGCAGCCACTCTCACAGAGGCCCCCGTTGGAAAGGGCTGAAACAGGGTCTGGTCTGAGGCCAGAGAGCGGGCGGAGTGGCCGAATCAGGTGCAGGAATCAGGCATCCTGTGCCCAGAAGTCTCGAGCCTCTCTCTTGGGCAGCAGTGGGGCACCTCCCGGACTTCAAGCTAGAGCAGGACAGGACAGAGCAGCGGGAAGAAGTAGCTGACCCCAGAAGCCTCCTTGTTCCCCAGATCCTGAGCGCCAGCCCGCCCAGGGGAGAGGGCGGAGGGGTGTGGCCGCTGAGCACAGGGCACACGGGCCCTTCCAGGACCTGCTCTCCCCTGAACTGAAGACCCCCTTCTGCTCCACCCCCCCCCCCCCCACCCCCAACTACCAGGGCTTCATCTGATCACTTGCACTTGCATCAACCTGCTCCCCGTGTGCACTCAGGGCTCCGTGAGTCCTGTCTCTCCATCAGGCCAGGGGGCCAGAGGGCCAAAGGACCCTCTACAAGGTAAGGCAAGTCCTGAGCAGGCTTCTCAGTGGCCTTAATGGTGGCCTGGTGCAGTCTGGTCTCGCCTGCCATGGGAAGCAGAGGTGGACACCTGGAGGGACCTAGGCCCTGCCAGTGTGCTGTTGGGCCAACAGATGCTCTGTCGGCTGGAGGCCCTGGGGGATAAGGTGCAGAGAGGCCAAGTGCAGGGACTAGTCAGTGGCCTGAGAGGACCAGGGGGCTTTTAAGCCCCTGGGGGGTGAGGTGCATGCCTGTTCCCCCTGTACACCACTGTGTTGGTGTCCAGCCAGGGGGTTGGCAAGTGCCCATTTGCAGGTGGGCCTGGGATGGACACTGGGGGCCAGAGAGATGGAAGCCCGCATGTGGAGGAGGAGAGACAGGGGCAGTGGGTGGAAGGCAGGCAGGCACACAGCCAGGACTTGGGCAGTGGGCCTGAGGAAGCAGCCAGAAAGGGCCTACTGCTCTCAGGATCCTGGCGAGCAAGGACAGTCAGGGCTGCAAACCACACCATGTATACCCTGAGCAACTGTCTAGGGATATGCAGGATTGCAAGACCCTCCATAATGGCTGGACCAGCGTGAGGGGCTGCAGCTCCTCCCTGACAAGAAAACAGGAGAGGAATCGACTGGAGCCCAAAGAGGGACAGGTCAGAAAGTCTCAGGTGGCGGGGGCAGGGGGGGCAGAATGGGTCAAACCTGAAAGCAGGGGCCCTCCTCCTGAGAGAGCCCCCAGAGAGGTTAAGACCACTTTCAAGGTCACATAGCAAGACGTCTGGCCAAGCAAGGCTGGAATGGTACCCTGGTGGAGTCCTTATCTGAATTTGGTTCAAGGACAGATTACATCTCAGCTGAGACCAAAATCCAGTCCAGTGCAGCTGAGAGCTGCCCCCTCCTCAGGCTGCATCTGACCCTCCAGCTCAGGATGGCTAGGAACGCAAGATCGGCAGCTGTGTTCACTCAATTAGGCCCCTTAACAAAGTCAGATCTAAAGAGTTATTCCATTAATGGCCCACACCAGAAATAGCTGAGTTCATTAGAAGTGTGGAGTTGCTATAGCAATTATCTGGGTTGACTGAGGATCAGCCAGGTGGTTGGTCCTGGGAGTTCATTAGCCTCTGGGCCCACGAGGAGGTGGGGCTGCTCAATAATGATCTCCCACCTACTCACAGGGGCTTTTCAGGTGCTTCAAAGCACTTTCCTAGGAATGGAACTGGTCTATGGTCTCATTTGATCCTCAGCTCAAGGCTGTAGGAAGGTAGGTACTGGTGCCCCCATTTTACAGATGGGGAAGCTGAGCCCTGGAGATGAAGAACAGGGTTGGGACCATGAGCTTGGGTCTCATGCCTGGCTCTTCAGGCTGAGCCTTGGTACCAGGGAGGTAATGGGACCTCATGCCCCTCCTGGGCCTGTTCCAGCTTTGTCTTCTGGCATGAGATGGGGAACTCAGTGTCATGGTTCAAGCACTTGCTTCTCCTTCTCTTTTGATGACTAATGGTGGTCAGCCTTGTGTTTCTTTCAGTGTCAGTGTTGTGTATTTCTTTTTAGTTTTTAAAAAAATTTTCATGGCTTCCCTGGTGGCGCAGTGGTTGAGAGTCCGCCTGCCGATGCAGGGGACATGGGTTCATGCCCCAGTCTGGGAAGATCCCACATGCTGCTGAGCGGCTGGGCCCGTGAGCCCTGGCCGCTGAGCCTGCACGTCCAGAGCCTGTGCTCCGCAACAGGAGAGGCCACAACAGTGAGAGGCCCGCGTACCACACACAACAATGAAAAAAAAAAATTATTTTCATTGTTGTGCCCTTTCTCCAAATAAGGTGTAGGCTTCTTAAGAGCCAGGCTGGGCTTTGTAGGATCTCAGGGCCCAGGCCTGGGACACTTATTGTAAGCTCAGGGCTCCAAGACCAGCAAAGACTCTGCTGAAAGCAGGCGAAAGCCCCTACAAACACACACACACACACACACACACACACACACACACACACACACACACACGTGCACGCACAGTTACCTGAATATGATTGGAGACCCCTGAAACGTAAAGGGCCCACCACACAAGGGCTTGGAGCACCAGACTAGCGGGAGGCTTAAACCTTCCTGTGTGTCAGGAACCCCTGTGGCAGGCTGGTGAGGCCTTATGCGACCCTCCCCAAATAATGTCTCTAAGTGCATAAAACAAAATATGTAGGATTACAAAGGGATTATATTGAAATAAGTTATCAAAATATTTTTTCAATTGTGATACAGTAATAGATGTGATTTTAAACTAATTAAAAGACAAGATCTACTGGTGGATCTATTAAATATAATTTTGAATTAGTGTTGAGCATAAATGATATTTTAAGATCTTTGTAACAACTGTAATGTGACATGAAAATATCTGTGATTTCTACTGGTGACAGACACAAGTCCTGCTTATTACTGTGATTTGCTGCCTACATTCATAATGGAAGGAAATGTTAAATTTCAGTTAGAGGTTAGTATAAATATTTTCCCCAACCAAGTCCACGACATCTACTACATTCCATCTACTGACCCCTTGGGGGTCTAGGGATCCCCGGTTAAGAACCTCTGTGCTAAAAACCGAATCTCAGGCACAGAGTTGGTCAGTGGCACCCCAGTCACCCTTTATTCTACCTACACACATTTTGTTCCAGTCGCCCCAGCCAGGAGACACCCCCCACCCAGTGTCAGGAGAGGTGTGGAGGGGCCGTCCAGCTCCCCCAGAGCCCGGCCGCCCCACACGCCCACAGGTGGTACATGCATGCCTGTGCACACACGCACAGACACTCCTCACTGTGCAAGCCTTACCTACGGCGGGGAACGGCACAAATCTCTGGACGAGAAGGCGGGTGGCCGGGGTGAACTTGTTGGCTTTCTGAACCAGGACATTAAGGCCCACCTTAGAAAGAGAAAACAGAAAGAGTGTGTGGTGCTGCAGCGGCCCATGGGAGGAAGGGGCAGGCTGGGGGAAGAGCAGAGAGCGAGGGGCACCATCTTGCCTTGGAACTGCACTCCAGACCCTACATCCTCAGCATGACCTCATGCTGCCGAGCCCCAGTGTGGCTCCTTAAAGCATCACTGCCCAGTCGTCCCACTTAACCGGCCCATGAGAAAGAGGGAGAGGAAAAGCATCAGCTACACACATACACACACATGCACACGCACACACGTGCACACCTATAGCCTCTCTGGGGAGAGGAAAAGGGATGGTGGGGAGGTTGCTGTTAGAAGAATCTATAATCTGCAAATAAGTGAAGTGTAGAATGCCCCTCATTCCCACCCAGCTTCTTAACTACCACATTCCTGGTGTCCCAGGCATGGGCCTGGCCAGACAGGGAGGACTCAGCACAGGGGGACTCACAGGTGACTGGAGAGGTAAGCAGAGCCACCCAGAGCAGGACGGGAGTGCATCAGACATCCTGGGCTCTCTGTCCGTCTTCACTCAGACTGCAGCTCCCCTCACCCAGCGCAGGACACCTGGGCCCCCCTCGCCTTTGCCTTGGGCACTCCCACTCCAGTCCATCCCCCATGCCAACCCTCGTCTTCCTAGAACACAGGTCCAATCCTGTCCGCCATGACAGCTCCTCCCCACGGCCTGTGCAAGTAGGTGAGTCTCCTCCCTACAGCAGTTGTGGCCTCCGTAACCTCCCTTCCCCACTCCCCCAGCACCCACATTCCCTCTCCATGAGTCCAGTCAGCTGAAACGTTATGTGCATTTCCCACCTCAGGGTCTTTGCCCTTGCTGGTCTCTATGCCCCGAACCCCTTCCTTCCCCTGCTCAGTCTATGCCTGTTCTTTAAGGCCCAGCTCTGAGCGCCACCTCCCAGTGCCTTTAACACTGGGAGTCACTTAACCGTTCTCTGCCTCAGTTTCCTTATCTGTAAAAGGGACAGTAACGTCTACAGCACCCCAGGGCTGTTATAAGAATGTATGTACAGTGCTTAGCACGAGCTTGGCATGTAAGAGGTCTCAATTAATGAATCTATGTAAGAATGACGTCACCTCTCCCAGGCAGAAAGTCCCTCCCTTGCACATCACCAGCCCCTCCTTCCCAGCACTCAGTACCCTGTTTGTGCGTCTAATGCCCCCGCTGGACTGAGAGGGAGGGACTGGGCCTTCTTCATCTTTGTATGCCTGGCCGTTAGGGCAGGGGACGGCACAGAGTCCATGCTCAGTAAAGCAGTGGCTGAGGAATAAATGCAACAAACAACAAAGAAGTGAATGGATGGAGAGATCAGCAAAGTCCGGAAGAGGGGCTTCTTGGAGGAGAGGAAGGTGGAGTTCGGCTGGGGTGAAGGACGTTTCGGTGGGGAAACCGCATGCGCACAGGCACGGGGAGACAGAAGAGGGTGTCTGTGGCCAGACCAGAAGATGGGTGTATAGAGGCCTCTGCTCCCCCAAACTGAGGCCAGGGCCAGCCCTCCCCTGTGGGACTGTGGGCCTGATGGGGCTGGGGACAGCCTGCTCGCGGCCTGGCACACCTGGTGGTTCAGCAGGCCACCCTGGCTCTGGCCTCAACCTTCTGGGTTGTTGGGGAAGATGAAGAACCTTGGGAAAGCCTCCAGGACAGCAGGGTGCCCGCAGCAGTCAAATCAGGGCAGGCATGGCACGAATGGCCCAGCCCAGGCCGTAACTGTGAGGCCTGGGAAGATAAGAAGTGCCAACCCGCCATTCCCCGGGCAGTCCAGGACCCCGCAGAGCCAGAGTGCTGCCAGGCAAAGCCGGCCTGGGCTCTCAGGTGCCTGGCCTCCAATTGAAGCCTCAAGCTGGTGGTCAGAGTCAAATTCGTATCCTCTCTGCCTGCTCAAGTGGAGGCAGGGAGGCACAGAGACGTGCGGCAACTTGGACACACTTCAGTGGAGGGGGTGGGGGCAGGCTGGGGGGTGCTGCCCGCCCACCCTGGGCCCTGTGGCCCTGCTTCCAGGCTGCCCCTGCTGCTCAGATGGAACTCACCAAGGCCAGGTCTCCCCACTCTCAGCAGTAAGTGACTACCTCTGTGACTCAGAAATGGTTCCCCCAACCCCCCAAAATACCAGGGAATATGTTCCTACAAGGTGCCATTGTGGAGCGAGGCCAGAGGACACACAGGCGGGCGTTAGCCATGAGGAAAAGGAAAGGGGCATGTGGAGATACCAGGCCAAGTGCGGGGCACACCGTGTGAAACATCTTAATGAAATCCCCACTAGCAGGCTTCTAGATAGGGCGTGTTGCCCCTTTTAACAGATTCAGAGAAGTTCAGACAGGTTCAGATAGGTTAAGTAATTTGCCCAAGGACAGACACTATTACAAGGCAGGTGAAACTAGGATTCAAACCCAGGGTCTGCTAATTCCAAAGCCTTGCTCTTAGCCACTGTGCTATTTACTTTCCAACTGTCTTCCATCGCAATGAGGAATGTCTGACAGGCCATTTTTTAAAATTACTACAAGCCATTTAAAACTGGCTGTTCGCAAAGCAAAAGCCTCCCTGAAAAGACCAGCCTGGGGCTGGGGCCCAGAGGCCTGGAAGGCAGCTCCAGGCAGAGGAGATAGGGGTCTTGAGCCACCTCTGCCCTCGGCAGCTAGAATATAGAAGGTCTGGGTTCAAAACCCTCCACATTTGTTTGGAAGGATGCAGGAAGTGCTGGAGGAATGGGAAGCAGGAGTCCTCTGAGAAGCCAGCAGGGAGCTGGAACCCTTCCCTGGCAGCCTCTTGAGGGCAGGCCAGGCTGGAGGGTGGTGGGAGGGCAGGAAGGAATAGTGATCATTGGTTGTAGCAAACACTCAGACATGCCCACTGCCCTCAAGCCTTCCCCTCCTTGGCTGGCTGTTCTTCCCACCGGCTAGGATTGGCACAGCCCAGAGTGATGACCCAGCCTGTCTCCCCCACTCTAGGTGGGAGCCCAGGCTAGGGAGGAGGAAAGAAGAGAAAAACAATTCTTGGGTCCCAGGTCTCTTCTGGCCTCCCCTTCCCTGAAGCCACCAGGGTCTTCCCAACATGGACAGGTGAGATTTAGTGAGGCACACACACTTTTCTTAGTGCACAGCCCACATGCCTGAGCATGTGGGAAGGGGCTGGGACCAGCAAAGTAGGGAGAAGGCCCAGGCACATGTGTGGCTGCAAGCTCGCTAGGAGCCATTGAGGTCACGCCGTCCACTCATCAAGGATGCGCCTCGTGGCAAGAAGGCATGAATACAGGGGAGGCCCCCAATCCAGACCTTAGTGTCCCAACAGCTGGGATGGCCACAGCCTGGGAAAGAACCAGGGTGGGCTGCTGACTGGGTTGGGAGCCTGTCTGTTCTGGTTCCTTGGGGACCCTTTGGCCTGGAACATTTGGTGGAGCCCATTAAAATTAAAAAGCCAAGTGGCTGGTGGCTCTGAATGCCAGCTCACTTTCCCTGGCATGGTGGGTCCTGTTTAAGGGAACCAGCTGGCATTAATGGCACACAACTCATCACGAACAGCAGCTAGCGATCAGAAAAATCTGAGCTAACAATCGGGTTCAGGAAAGATAATGAGATATGGAACAATCACTGCAGAGGGTCCCCCGGGGTCTGTTTTAACAGCTTCCAGATAAGCCACAAAATAGAAATTAACCAAACAGGGGCTGTATTTTGGTGGAGAGGAACACAAACGGGGTGCAGATTTTTCATAAGAATTCCCCATGTGGCCAGCAGACGGGGGTCCTGGGAGAAGCCAGAGCCCAGGATCCATGGGACATCAGATTTGGCCAGAGGAAGCAGTGGACTTTCTCTGGCTACCTCTTTCCAAGCTCTGGCTCCCAGGCGGGTAAATTTGCCATGGGCAGCTGAGAAGGTCAGAGGAAGAGGAGGGAGGACTGGCTCCCTGGCCATCCGCTTTGGTGGAGATAAGTGCTGACCAGTACCAAGAACTGGGGTGGGGTGGGAGCTCCATGTCACAAGACCTTCAGTGTCATGGGCTACATGGCTGATAACTGTCTCCTTGAGTATGAAGGTCCTTCCAGGCCGACACCAGCCTAGCTTCTGCAAGGCCTGAGAGGAGACCTCAGATGGGATTGGGGCAATGCCTGCATCACGCAGGCTGTGTCCTCCACTCCAGCCCACATATCTGGTCCCCTGCGGGATGCCTCTGTCTCGATGGACTTCAGGCACTCCACCTGCACACACCACAAATGAAGGTTATCTTTCTCCTCCTCAGCCACACCCGGTCTGCCTCTCCCACTCCCAGCTCAGCTCCTCAAGCCAGAAACCTAGAAGTCTACCTGGACAGGAGTCTCTGCCACCCCACATCCAGTCCACAGGGCAGAGCTCCCTGTTCGAGCTACTCAGTGTCTTCTCTCTCTCTCTCTGCTCCTACCACTTAGCTTAAGCACCCATCGCTTCTCCCTGGACAGCTACCCACCTCCTAACTGGGACCCCTACTCGCACCCCTGACCCCTCTAATCCCCTGTATAATCTATAGCAGCCAGAGTGGACTTCCAAAACTGGACACCAACGTGCATTCGTCTTTCAGTGGCTTCACTGCACTTAAGACCCGCAGGGCCCTGCATGACCTCCAGGCCGTGCTTGCGAGGCTCCAGCCACCTTGCCGCCGCCCTGCCTCTCCAACAAGCCAGTTCCCTCTCTCCTTCCCTCCCTCCCTCTCTCTCAAGCCCTGCTGTCCCTTGGCTTCCTCACTTTTCAGCTTGAACATCAAGCCCTCAAAGAGGCCTCCTCTTCACTCGGGGCTCTCCTTTTGCAGCCTCTCACAGAACCTGGAATTCTTCTTTCCATGTACCCATTACAGTCCCTAAGTATATTCATTTACTTCTTAAAATGTTGGGAATCAAAGTAACACATGTATATTATGAGAAACAGAATTGCACAGAAGTATTTTTGCCTGTGGACTCTTTACTAAATATCCATCTCTCCCAATAGGCTCTAAGTGCTGGGCCCAAGGAC